GAACCGGGAGCTTGTCAGGAGGCGTCGGCCTCATGCGTTTCACCGGCTATAGAACCTTGCCACGGATCTCAAGATCTGCCATCAAGAGGTCAGCAAGAACATGCCGGGTCATGGCCAAGACAAGCCCGAGGCCTGTTGAGGTGCGTTCGATGGCGCGGCAGGTCAAAGAACAGATTGCCCTGGCGTGGGCAAAACGTAGGGAACAGACAGCCGGCGCCTGTGGCATTCCACACCACGCTGCCCAGTCTGGTTCGGATGAGGTGGGTGACATCACTCTTTACAAGGTTCCAGTGAATCGTCGACTTTCCTGGGCATTCATCAGCCCCAACGTCATGTGATGAGGGCCTGTGAGATGCTGTACCCCACATGTTCTTGTGCTCTCACTTCGCGAGACTGTGCTGGCCCTCAGGCTAAGAGATGCATTTGTCACCCTCCCGGACCACAGGTGTTAGTCCATGTTTTCATTTACCAGGATTCCATTTTGGGTACATATGTTTGACCCACAGCCAAATCAACAAAGCCGCCTTGCAGACGTTGACACCTTGGCATGCGAGGCCAAAGGCCGCATGGCTGCCTGCAAGGCCCTGGAGCAATTGGGCGAGGCCTGTGCGGCCGCGCCGCGGGCGGTGCCGCGGCTTGCGCGGCTCTTGCACGACTCCGAGCGCTCCTTTCGCCTGAGGGGAAGGGACGTGAACTTTGGCTCCCCCTACCCCCTGAAAGAACCTCTCGGAAGCAGTCCAAGACACCCTCGAACTACGAAGGTGCCAACAAGCTTGCAGGTGCATGGGGGGAAGGAGCCGTAAGTGCTTCCCCGAAAAGCGTGCCGAGTGCCGCGCAATGGAAGCAGACATGACCATGGGTGGGCTTTCCACGCCTCCTGGTAGGATAGGGCAACCCTGCTTGAATGAGTTCTTTAGTCTCTAGGGGGCACCAGAGAAATGGACCACGGCAAAGCTTGGCGCCAGACTCGGCCCTTTTTGTCCATCAGGGCAGTCAAGCGGTAGAATCTGCCTCAGGTGCTGCATGATGGCCGCCGATGCTTTGCGCGCCATGGGTGCCAGCGGGTGCCGAGCAGCCGCAGAGGCCATGAGGGAGGAGGAGGACCACATGATTCGGTGCCTCGGCTATGCCCAGCGGGCCACAGTAGCAGTGCTACCTATGGCCTGGGACTGGGTGCTTTTTCACAAATTGATGTTGACTGCTTGGGAAAGGACGAGGGGCGACGAATGCAGCTGGTGAAAATCAATTTGGTGCGGTATGTCTGTTATGGGCGGTGGCTTTGTCAGCGTTTGCATGTGAGCCGTTGTTGCCTTGCAGCTGCCGCCAGGGTCGCTTCCAGCAGTCCAGTTTTGCCCAACGCACTTGCCCTGGCAAGGATGTGGATGTTCCTTTCTTGGAGAAAGAAAGCTACATCCTGTAAGGCGCCGAGCTCCAGAATACAAAGCACGCAGGGTTAGAAGCTTTCGCCAATTGGAGCCACTTTGCAATGTGGCCAATGCGCCAGGTTTCATGGGGAATTTCAGCAAAACATGAGTGCCCGGCGCCGGAGGTCTGCGTGCTGCCACGTTTTGGCGGCCGGAGGTCGGCCTTACCGAGCAGAGCTCCTGCAGGTGTTGCAGGACGAGGGGGCGCCGGGCTTTCTGAGAGCCGCCGCGGCCAAGGCCAGGGATCGGAGCTGGAGCCAAGTAAGACACCGTCCAAACGCAACGCGCTCACTACGATAGCTCAACAAAGGTGGAATGCGTCCGCTTTGGAATCTTCTTGGAGTCCTGTGCGGTCGGATCGCTGGACAGGTGGCACCTCAGGGAACCCGAACGAACTGGGACCCGATGGGAGCCCTGGACAGCTCTCGATGCCATTTTCACGTTCCCCATGCCCCGACACTACCTCCGTTCAGGCCATGGGGCAGCAGGAAATTGACCGTGAGCTCTGCGTTTACTTGGTGGACCTTCTGGAGAGCGAGGACTGGATTCGGGTTCAAGTCATAGTGACCTCTTCAACTTTTCCCTTGGCAAGGGGCAACATCAACTCATGTCCAGTCAAAATTGGGCAACTCACTTCCAGTCAAAAAATCGGGTCCTGGGAACGTCCCACGACTTCGGCGCATTTGAGGACCCCACGCTGCGCCTGGCTGCGGTGGGCCTGCTGGGGGACGCGCGGGGCGAGCACGCAAAGATGGCCTTCGCGCGGACACCCGGGGGCCAGGGATGCCAAATGGGCGTGGGGTTATTCTGAGGGTATCCTTCAATGGGCAAACCATTTGGGGTTTAGAGTCCCCCCAATTGCATGTATGGCCTCCACCCATCCACATTGTGCAATCAAAAGCGACCATGCACAGCAGTCAACGGTCAACGCTCAACAGACTGGACTGCTCGCAAATCTGCGCGACGACACTTCATCTCCTCCACGTTCATGCTACGCAGCTCCTGACTGAAACACCCACTTCGCACAGAATTTTCCCTCTTGACAATATTGCGGTGTGCCCGGGCCAGTCGAACTCAAGAACAGCCTGCTTCTTTGTCTTTGACGCTGCACCTCATTTGGGGTGGCATGTTCATAAACCCCTGCAGAGGAGTTTTAAACAAACATCGTAAGGTATCGTAAGTGTTCCTGTGAAGGGAATGGTGTAGATTTTTTGCAGCTTTAGCCTAAGTTGATTCTGGCGAAGCACTAAGGGTACTTGAGCAGGCTGGGCAGGCAAGTCAGCCAGACCCAAGTTGAGAAAAGCATCGCCTACCTTGCCGTTTGACAAGGCTTTGCCCATTTGAAGCAAGGTGGAGCGTCACGCCAGTTTGTTTCGTGGACGGAGGCTTCACAGGCTCATTTTACTAAGGAGGCGCTGGCATCTGCGCTGGATGATCCCGTGGAATTTGTCAGCGAGGCTGCGACCAGGGCCTTGAATAGCGTGACGGACGCTTGAAGTTGGCCGCAACGTCGAGGCGCAGACCGTCGAATGGCAGGATGCCCTACGCTGCAGGCTTGAATCGTTTGTGGGTGTGGCCTCCCGGCGTGCTGAGAATTGAGCATGCCAAGCTTGCTTGATTCAGCGCTTGCAGGCAGTGCGATGGACTGTGTACAGTCCTGTCCGTCGCACTCCCCCGTTTTCTATCTCAGCCCTTTGCTCTTTGCTCCGAGCAGCAAGCTGCGACAGATGAAGTCAAGAGAAAAAGATTGGCAGCACAAAGCTTGCGACCGTGCGTGTGCCGCATAAACCCATCAGACGGATTAGATTGTGCGGTTTGCCCATGCTCCAACATATGGTGTCGACCCACAGGTTGCAGCGCAGAGTACGGATTAAGAAGAAACCAGAACAAGGATGACGCGGATTACGGATTGTGATTAGGCCCCCTCGGATTTCGAGCGGGCTGGACTTAGGCCACAGAGCCAGAACAACCGGAGAGTTTGCCACCACGCAAGCTACACATTTCCTGGACCCCAGGTTCCCCAACGAAGCTGTTCACCTGATAGGCCGTGGCTTGCGCGGCCTGCGGTTTCACTGGTTTGTGCGCTCAAAGCCTTGCACGGGCGGCCACCAGCCGGGTTGACCAAGCTCTTTGGGTTGAGGAGCCAGATCTGCTGATGAAGGCAGGGGGGCAGTCGCAAGAGGTCCGCTTGCTGATGTTCTTTGCCTTTAAATGGGGACCAAATAATCCAGGAGTGTGTGTGTGTGTGCGAAAGGAGCCTTTTCCTTCCTGGAGACTGCCTTGCTTCGTAGCTTCATACGGCTCTACTGGGCTTGGACATGCCCATCATGTTGACCCAGAAAGCCTTGTTTGATCAAGACCAAGCGTCATGGTCCTTTTGCGAACTCGTTGGCCCTTGTTGGTGTTGTGGGACTCTGAGGGTTGAGGAGCTCTTTTTCAAACTAGCCCTGGCTTTTTACTAGCCCGGCTCGGCTCACAACAAGACCTGCTCTCATGCGCCTCTAAAAGGGTTGGCTTGGAACCCTTGCTTCACTCTTAGGTTGGGGGTATACTCTGGTGGCCTGGTTGGCCAGGCTGTGGGTCAGGTTGGTTGTCGCTGACCTAGGGCAGTTGAGAGTTGCCCGGCTGATTTTGGATGAGTGTTGGGCTTGCTGAGATCTTAGTTAGTGGGGGTGGGTCTTGGGTTTGTGCGGGGTTCATTTAGGCTTAAGGTTGGCTTTGGGTTGATTTTGGGTTGGCTGCGGGCTGATTTGTTTGTGCTAAGTGTGCGGCTGGGGTTGCTTCAGGGACGTTGCCAAGCCCAAACCAGCGTAAAACTCACACAATCACACCCAGCCCAAATCAGCCCCAAACCGACCTAAACGACCCGAAGCCAACCTTAATCCGACCCAAGCCTAAATGAACCCTGCTAAATGAAAGCCAATAGGCAGCCCTAGGTCCGAGCGGCGCTTCTTGGCTTTGCGCCCCGGGTTTGTTTAATGGCCAGTGGGGTTGCAGCTCTTTGGTGTGAGGCGGCTGTTTCCCCCCTTCGGACGTGGATGCCGAGGGGTCAACATGTGTCCACTAGAGCGAAAGGTATCGTGGGCAGGGTGAGAATGCTGGCATAACATGAAGCACCTTGGAAATTGAGAATCTGGCTATTTTGCTGTTTGGAAGGGTGCTTCATGCAGCCTTTGCTGCCTCTGCTACTGCTGCTCCTGTTGCTGCTCCTGTTGTTGCCGATTGTTGCTGTTGCTGTTGAGTGCATTTGCTAGGCGTTCAAAGGACACTGCCACGCATCGACATTCATCAAGTTACTATTGGTTTTGTGGCAAATGGGACAGCGCAAACATTGCCCTGCATCGATTTTGGTAGCCTACACATTGCTGCAAAGGCGGGATCCAACCCTTGCTCGGGCAAGTGATCGAGAGCTAGAGTGCGGTCTTCCACATTTCTTTGACAGGAAGGCTTACTGAAGACTCAACCAATTTGCCCCTGGCAAGTAGCATGGACAAAATCTTGTTGCTGGTTTGACCGTGCTTCATGCCCCAACTTGTGTTCAGCCGTTGCGCTTCCCCATTTGCCATTTCCACCTCGAAGTGCGCGCACGCGGGTGCCGGCGGTCTTCCAGCGCGACATGGAAGGAGCGGGACATCCAGAGCGGCTCGTATCAGCACCCCGCATTCACCCCTCACCCCATGCCCACTATGAAGATGTGGACTTCTTGGGTACCAGCTGACGAGGGCACAAACATGTTTGAAAGGTGAGAGAATGATGTTTCCTTTTTAGGCGAAGACAGCGAAAGTATGCTAGAAGCATGCGCATTCCCGTTTACTGGCGCGCTTGCGTGGACTAACTGCTGGTAGTTTGTTCCCCTGCGACCCTCATCATTCTCAGCATTGCCCAAGCAAAATCCTGCACGTCACATTTGGCAGTGATTTTTTGAGGGGTCTGTAACAGAGCCGCGGCGGACATTCGTTGCAGACCTCGTTACAGACCTCTGCAACAAGACCCGCTGGCTCGTTCCACACCCCTCGCACGCACCCTCGTTACACACCTCAGATGAACAAACCGGGCCAATGACCCCTCTTGTTGCCGCAGCTTTAGCTGCAATCAAGCTGTATGCGGAGGCGCGCTTTGCGTACTGCGCTTTGCCTCGTTACAGACCTCGTTACAGACCTCGTTACAGACCTCGTTACGTAGCCGTTACACACCTCGTTACAGACCCAACCCCAGCCCGGGCCAGCGACCCCCCTTTTTGCCGCAGCTTGGCTTGCGTTGAATAGCTGCAATCAAGGTGGAGCTGCGGAGGCGCGCTTTGCGTACTGCGCTTTGCCTCGTTACAGACCTCGTTAAGCCGTTACATACCTCCCTACAGACCCAACCCCAGCCCGGGCCAGTGACCCCCCTTTTTGCCGCAGCTTGGCTTGCATTGAATAGCTGCAATCAAGGTGGAGCTGTGGAGGCGCGCTTTGCGTACTGCGCTTTTTCTTTTCCTCGTTACAGACCTCGTTGCCTAGCCGTTACATACCTCGTTGCAGACCCAACCCCAGCCTGGGCCAGCGACCCCCCTTGTTGCCATCGCTTGGCTCTGTGTCGGCAGTTGCAAATTTCAAGCTAGGAGGCGTGCTTTGCGTGCTGCGCTTGTACTGCGCGACTTTCGAGCAGGAGCTGCTGCTCTTCGATGTTCTGCGCTACATTGTGCTACTGATACTCCTTTTCAAGAAATGATTCCCGTTGCAGAGCTGCGTAACAAGGGCCTCCGCAACAAGACTCGCGGCGCGCGTTACAGACCCTCAAAAAAATCATGGCCATTTGGATTTGGAGAATTGTGACCTCTGTCAACACTTGTGTGATATAGTTTTTGTAGTAAAAGCCTGGAACGGATGGACTCGTTGGGGTTCAACATCTTGTGTGAAGCTATGCGATCAGTAGGCGACACTAGCCCACATGTTGGGACAGTGAGCGGCATAGGTCAATCTTCAAGATGGATGTGTTGGCAGTCGGCTCCACCCCGCATGTAGGCCTACATTATATTTGCACAAACTTGGTGTGTCTCTGCATCTTGGCAGGAGCCAGAGCGCCGGATTGCTCCTTCAAGGAGCTGAAAGCGGAAAACTCTTCTTTATTGACGTGCATAATTGCTTGTAAGATTGTAGGGCCTCGGGCGTGCAAGCCGACTGCGCCACCACTTCTGCTTAAGCAAGGAGTGTGAGGATGCCTTATTTTCCACACCAAAGAAAATGCTTTGCCCAGAATGGGCGGCTTTGGGGCTGGCATGTCCGCAATGAAGCGACCACACGAATCTTTGTAGTGGCGGCAAACCCCACCAGTGCCAGCCATGAAAAGGATTCTCCGCAACTGTTTTCGGGAAGTACTCGGTGAGAAGCATTCTGAAGAGGAGTCCGTTCAGTTGGATACTGGGTGGAAGGCACGCGGGCTTTCATTCAGCCTCCACGTAATGCGCAAACTCGCTGCGGCGTGTTTCGCGCCATGTGTGCCTCGAGCCGTGGGTCGTGCTGCATGGGGGTTGACAAGCGCACGTCGCACGAGGGGCTATGTGGGTTGCTGCAAGCGAATCTCCCCTTTTCAAAGTTTATTCAGCATGCCAGGAGCTCGTTTTGCAACTGGCCGAGGCCAGCTGCAATCTTTGGGAAGACATGTTCAGATGGAGATGTTGGAGTGGTTGCTGTTGTCAAACGGCAAAGTCGACAAGCGGTTTATGTAATTGATGCCATTTGTTTTAGGTGCATAGGTTCCACGCGGGTTGGAGGAGGAAAAGGAGGAGGAGTGCATAGACCAACTTGTTCTTCGGAAGGTGCTTGAAGCCTTTCTAGGCGCCCTGAAGTTGGCCTTGCATGCGGCTGCACTTCTTGGAGTCGCCTGTCTCGGAGCTTGGGTTTTGACGAATGCTCGGCCTGCCCGTGGGGTCAATAACTGGGCATGGCGCACTGTTTTGGTGGGCCAGGTTCATGAGCGCATCCTTTCCGAGCAGGAGATCGAGTTGATGCTTGGACCGCGCATGGTGCATGCAGCTCCAGCATCTCAAAATGCAAAGCGTTTGATGCCTATTTTATGAAGTCGTGCCCGACCTTCTTGATGAAGCTTGAGCACTGCGAATTGAATTCGGGTTGCCTGAACTCGAAAGTCAAGCTGCTGCAATGAGCTTGTGGTGTGTTTGTGTGTGTCTGTGTGTCTGTGTGTCTGTGTGTCTGTGTGTCTGTGTGTCTGTGTGTCTGTGCGTCTGTGCGTCTGTGTGTCTGTGTGTGTGTGTGTGTTCTGTGTGTGTGTGTGTGCTGTGTATTCTGTGTGTGTGTGTGCTGTGTGTGTGTGTTGTGTGTGTGTGTTGTGTGTGTGTGCTGTTGTGTGTGTGTGTGTGTGTTGTGTGTCTGTGTGTGCTGTGTGTGTGTGTGTTGTGTGTGTTTGTGTGTTGTGTGTGTGTGTGTGTGTTTTTTCTCGCCCCTTTGCATGATACAGCAGCTTGTTTGAGTGCTGATTGGGCTGAACTCGAGAATGCTCGCCAACAGTGGGGACAGCTGACTTGGCCATCTGGCCCTTTCTGGGGCTGCTGTTGAGGGGAAAAGGGGACTTACAACTGTTTGGGATTCAACACGTCCTTATCACCCCGCGAGCTCACTGGGCGTTGCCAGTTTTACACTTCAACGATCTCAATGACATGAAGTGATTCCAGCAGAATGCCCTCAAACTCCTCGCCCGCCCAGGAAGTCTTTGCGGCGGCAGCTTGCAGAGTGGCAAGGCGACGCGCGGCTGTTGAGTTTCCCACATGGTGTTTTCTACAACAGAATGCAACGTGACATGTTACACTGATATGGCTTGTTTCCGATATCCTGAGCATACTTTGTTTACTCCCGCCGCTCCTGTCGACTTTCTTCGGGCCGCTGGGAGGGTCTCGTGGGAAGCTGCCGTTTTCAGCTGCTTCAGCGATCTTCAGCGTTTGCGGCGTTTGCGGCAGCAGCCCTGACGTCCCACAGCAAGCTGCCCAATGCACAACACGGGCAAGTATTTTCCATGACCCGCCGCCTACTTAGGACGGGCCCTGCTTGTCATTTGCAGAAAGTTTCGAAAGGTGTGTTGCACAGTGCGGTGTGGCCAACAGTTGTGTTCTTCGCCTTCCCAGTGGCTCGCCGTCCTTTTCAGATCCTGCACGCCCACATTCACATCACATGGGGTTGAAGAGGCCTTTCTTGAGATGGTAAGCTTTCTTCATGATTGGCACACTTGGGCCACATCCACGTATTGCCGCCTCGAGTCGCCATCGGTGCTGCGCCAACAGGCAACGGCGCGCATTCCTCGGTACGAAAGGAAACCGAGGCGCGGGGGGGATCAATGAGGTGCTGGGATGATTGAGTAGGATTAGTTGCTGAACGGATTCGGAGGACGGAGGGACGGATGGATGGCATGGAACAGGATGGCAGGGACGGGATGGGATGTACCCATAGATGCAGTTGTGGTCCTTGGCTATCAGCGCAGGATTCTTCCTGCGACGAGGCAAAGCATGCGAGGCGGTGGCCCCAGAATCATCCAAGCTAGTGCATCCAGAGCGACGCAACTGTTCTACCATTTCAAGCCCACTCGGACCCGTCTCGGTACTTGCGACGCTTGTGTGCCTTGAGATGCCTTGTGGCGGGGCGCACGCAAGCTTGTGCCATGTCCGAATTTTGTCAGACTTCGCCCATTCTCATTGGCAGGCTGGCGCCTCACCCGGAAGGAGAAATAGGCGGGATCGTGTCCGGAAGGATGGTAATTACGCCTTCTACCTTCTGACATCCCGTCCGAGACAACTTCGTGAATAGCGCACGTCTTTTAATTGCATAATTACATGACTTGCGCATATCTTGACCCTAGCCTGATGGCAGACAACTTCCTCAAGCCCTGCGACCAGTTGCAAGCTGAAGCTCATTTGACACTGAATGGTCAACCCTGATTGGTAAAGGCCCGCCCCTTCAAGGTCGACAAGGTTTGGACACGCCCCCCAAAACTATGGTTTTCGGAGTACTCCTGATTTGTTTGGAGCCCCTTCGGTCCTTGTCGTTTGCTTCCTCGGTCCTTGCCTTCTTCGCCCTTTCTGGGCGATAGGACTGGCAGGAGGTGTTTTGTGTTTTGAGCCCGAAAGGACCCCGGATTAATCGTGGGGGGGGGTTATGGTAGCGAGGGGGGCTGACATCCAAGTGGGGTCCGCTTTGTAAGCGCAGGGCAAGCAAATACTAAGCAACAAGGAAGGCCTTTTTCCAGCAGGGTCTTTTGGCTCTGGGGCTGGACAGATGCCATGCTTCAGCAGCCCTGACGTCCCACAGCAAGCTGCCCAATGCACAACACGGGCAAGTATTTTCCATGACCCGCCGCCTACTTAGGACGGGCCCTGCTTGTCATTTGCAGAAAGTTTCGAAAGGTGTGTTGCACAGTGCGGTGTGGCCAACAGTTGTGTTCTTCGCCTTCCCAGTGGCTCGCCGTCCTTTTCAGATCCTGCACGCCCACATTCACATCACATGGGGTTGAAGAGGCCTTTCTTGAGATGGTAAGCTTTCTTCATGATTGGCACACTTGGGCCACATCCACGTATTGCCGCCTCGAGTCGCCATCGGTGCTGCGCCAACAGGCAACGGCGCGCATTCCTCGGTACGAAAGGAAACCGAGGCGCGGGGGGGATCAATGAGGTGCTGGGATGATTGAGTAGGATTAGTTGCTGAACGGATTCGGAGGACGGAGGGACGGATGGATGGCATGGAACAGGATGGCAGGGACGGGATGGGATGTACCCATAGATGCAGTTGTGGTCCTTGGCTATCAGCGCAGGATTCTTCCTGCGACGAGGCAAAGCATGCGAGGCGGTGGCCCCAGAATCATCCAAGCTAGTGCATCCAGAGTGACGCAACTGTTCTACCATTTCAAGCCCACTCGGACCCGTCTCGGTACTTGCGACGCTTGTGTGCCTTGAGATGCCTTGTGGCGGGGCGCACGCAAGCTTGTGCCATGTCCGAATTTTGTCAGACTTCGCCCATTCTCATTGGCAGGCTGGCGCCTCACCCGGAAGGAGAAATAGGCGGGATCGTGTCCGGAAGGATGGTAATTAATTACGCCTTCTACCTTCTGACATCCCGTCCGAGACAACTTCGTGAATAGCGCACGTCTTTTAATTGCATAATTACATGACTTGCGCATATCTTGACCCTAGCCTGATGGCAGACAACTTCCTCAAGCCCTGCGACCAGTTGCAAGCTGAAGCTCATTTGACACTGAATGGTCAACCCTGATTGGTAAAGGCCCCCCCCTTCAAGGTCGACAAGGTTTGGACACGCCCCCCAAAACTATGGTTTTCGGAGTACTCCTGATTTGTTTGGAGCCCCTTCGGTCCTTGTCGCTTGCTTCCTCGGTCCTTGCCTTCTTCGCCCTTTCTGGGCGATAGGACTGGCAGGAGGTGTTTTGTGTTTTGAGCCCGAAAGGACCCCGGATTAATCGTGGGGGGGGGTTATGGTAGCGAGGGGGGCTGACATCCAAGTGGGGTCCGCTTTGTAAGCGCAGGGCAAGCAAATACTAAGCAACAAGGAAGGCCTTTTTCCAGCAGGGTCTTTTGGCTCTGGGGCTGGACAGATGCCATGCTTCAGCAGCCCTGACGTCCCACAGCAAGCTGCCCAATGCACAACACGGGCAAGTATTTTCCATGACCCGCCGCCTACTTAGGACGGGCCCTGCTTGTCATTTGCAGAAAGTTTCGAAAGGTGTGTTGCACAGTGCGGTGTGGCCAACAGTTGTGTTCTTCGCCTTCCCAGTGGCTCGCCGTCCTTTTCAGATCCTGCACGCCCACATTCACATCACATGGGGTTGAAGAGGCCTTTCTTGAGATGGTAAGCTTTCTTCATGATTGGCACACTTGGGCCACATCCACGTATTGCCGCCTCGAGTCGCCATCGGTGCTGCGCCAACAGGCAACGGCGCGCATTCCTCGGTACGAAAGGAAACCGAGGCGCGGGGGGGATCAATGAGGTGCTGGGATGATTGAGTAGGATTAGTTGCTGAACGGATTCGGAGGACGGAGGGACGGATGGATGGCATGGAACAGGATGGCAGGGACGGGATGGGATGTACCCATAGATGCAGTTGTGGTCCTTGGCTATCAGCGCAGGATTCTTCCTGCGACGAGGCAAAGCATGCGAGGCGGTGGCCCCAGAATCATCCAAGCTAGTGCATCCAGAGCGACGCAACTGTTCTACCAGTTCAAGCCCACTCGGACCCGTCTCGGTACTTGCGACGCTTGTGTGCCTTGAGATGCCTTGTGGCGGGGCGCACGCAAGCTTGTGCCATGTCCGAATTTTGTCAGACTTCGCCCATTCTCATTGGCAGGCTGGCGCCTCACCCGGAAGGAGAATTAGGCGGGATCGTGTCCGGAAGGATGGTAATTACGCCTTCTACCTTCTGACATCCCGTCCGAGACAACTTCGTGAATAGCGCACGTCTTTTAATTGCATAATTACATGACTTGCGCATATCTTGACCCTAGCCTGATGGCAGACAACTTCCTCAAGCCCTGCGACCAGTTGCAAGCTGAAGGTCATTTGACACTGAATGGTCACCCCTGATTAGTAAAGGCCCCCCCCTTCAAGGTCGACAAGGTTTTGGCACGCCCCCCAAAACTATGGTTTTCGGAGTACTCCTGATTTGTTTGGAGCCCCTTCGGTCCTTGTCGCTTGCCTCCTCGGTCCTTGCCTTCTTCGCCCTTTCTGGCAGGAGTTTTGTGTTTTGAGCCCGAAAGGGCTTCAGATTAATCGTGGGGGGGGTTCTGTTAATGAGGGGGGGAGCTCCAAGGGGGTCCGCTGTGTGAGCTTGAAAACTTTGTTAGTTCAAGCAAACTTGAGTAAGAAGCATGTTGTTGGGAAAGCATATGTTTGGGGAAACTTGCGGGGTGACATAGTGGCTTGGTATTGGTGGTGCAAGCGCAGACCAAGCAAATACTAGGTTTTTTGACCCTGGGGAGAGGACCTAAAATCGCGAGGGGGATCGCTGCTGTCGAGTAACCCAAATAGCGTTCTTGAATGGAGCTGGTTGCATGTCACACTGACATGCCTTGTCTCAGAATGTAGCGGTCCTGAGCATACTTTGTTTACTTCTACCGCTCGTGGAAGCCGCCGTTTTCAGCACACGCGGGTGTAAGCTCAGACCAAGCATTTTTGTTTACAAGGAAAGCCCAATTTCTTGGCAGGTTTTGTGGTGCTGGGGCCCAGTGTTTTTTGTTCACTAGCCCCGGTTAGGGCTTACCCCCGGTTGATCAGTTGGTTTTGTGGTTGGTTTTGTGGTTTGGTTGGTTGGTTGGTTGGTTGGTTGGTTGGTTGGTTGGTTGGTTGGTTGGTTGGTTGGTTGGTTGTTCGGTTGGGCGGCATCCCCAGAGGAACTGGGGCGTCGGGCCTCGTATTAGCCGAGAGTTGCTCGGGCTTAACCGGCCACATCCCCAGCATCACCGGCGCTCGAACTATGGGCTTTGATTTGATGGCAGTGCAGAGTTGCTCGGGGCTGGTTTGGGGTGAGTGTTGGGCTGAGGGCTAATGAGGGCGGGTCTTGGCAAAGGGGTGATTTTTCCAGGATTTTGTTCAGAGGTCTTTGGGTCGGCTTGGGTTGGCTTGCGGCTGATTTGCGCTAGGTGCGCGGCTCATTTTGCAGTAGCTTTTGGGCTTCTTCAGGGCGTGCTTGTGCAAGTTTTTGGGCTGGTTTGGAATTGGTTGTGCAACCACATCCCTAAAGCAACCCCAAAGCAGACCCAAAGTCAACCTTAAACCCTCCCAACAGCATCCTGGATATCAGCCCTTTGCCGAGCCACATGAACCCCAAACAAACCCAAGACCCGCCCTCATTAAGACCTCAGCAAGCCCAACACTCACCTTAAACCAGTCCCGAGTAACTCTGGACTGCCATCAAATTACTGTGTTGTTTTTGGCAAGCCTTGTTGGGCCATTACGGGGGTATTGGTGGGAATGTGGGAGGCAAAAGGGGGCACCTTTAATTCCTTTGATCGGGGTTCACCAGTTGTGCACTGAAATTAGCGCAGACATTTTGGAAGTATTTGTGAGTCTTAAGACTTGGCAACGACTATTGCCATAGCTGCTTTTGCTTCTGCGTTCACTGCACGGTCGGTAACAGCCTGCAGTTGCAAAAGGCAGGAAGACAAGTGGAAGACATCCATACTGTTTTTCACGGTTTTTCACGCGGAGTCGCTTGAAGTCTTGTTTGAGGCTTTCATGGGTCACGTTGGTACAGGCTGTTTGGTGGCAACAAGTTTGCAGAAGTTGGCAATCCTTCGCGCGCGTTGATGGAAAGCTGTTGCCTTGCGACTTGCCAGCCATCGGCCGCTTTCCAGGCGGTGAGGGGCCGGCAACGAGAGCTCTTGAGGTTCGAGCTGCCTCTTGGCCGCAATGGAACCCGGCCGGGCTCGAGGCCTCTTGTTTATCTTTTAAGCCAAAGCCGGAAGTTCTATCGGGGTCCGAAATGGCAGTGTTGCGCTGTTGTTCGGAGGGAGGTTGTGTTCATTTCACCCGTTCATTTCAATTTGCCCCAGAGACAGACAGCGAAGTGGCACAGCTCTTGTGCTGGGCCTGGTCCATTTTACCAGCCAACACTGGCAACTTTCTCCAACAAGGCGCTGTGCCAAGAGTGTTTGGCTTCGCGGCACGGGCAACAAACGTCCGTTCCGAGGTTTGGGAAGCTCGGCCGGTTCAGAGCCACATGCAACTCGGCAGGACCGATGGACCGATGGAGCGGGCGTGAGATGCGCACAAGCACTAGTAGCAAAGCTTGATGCTGGGGGTTGAGGAATCTATGCTTCGCCTCGGAAAAAGCTGTCAATGCGGGCCCCAACCACGCGCAGAAGGGCTTGGGGCCAATTACACATACAGGCGAATCGTTTCTCCCGCTCACGTCCCGAGTTCTGGGACTTTCTGCATTCTGGGATGAGCATTTTAGTGGCAAACAGCCAGACTTGTGTTGGCCAATCCTGTCAACAAGTGATTTCTTTGAACAGGGGGACAAGTTTGAGTTTGGGCTGCGCCTGAGGCTTGCGAAGCAGCACTCCAAAACGGAGTTGGGGGACGCTGGCTCCGGCCTCGACAATAAACCAGTGGCCCCGGCAAAACTCTGCTTCTTGTATGTCACCAAGCTCATTATGATGCAGGTTCTTGACTTGGGGGTCCCATATTTCAGCTTTGGGAGTTGGATTTGCAGATGCGTGTGGGGTGATTCATCTTATGGCTCTCACCGGGGTGCAAGAATGTGTGCAGTTCCGGTTGGTGATCTCTGGCAAGCCGGAAACTTGGGTCGTTGCATCATGGGTCCGTTTGAAGTGAGCTCACAACCCAGTTGGAGCTAAACATCTAATGAACGGGATATCTTTCTCCAAATGGGTCAAAAGGCTTTTGCCTCCGAGGCCGTCGCTCCTCCCAGGCACGGAGTCTGGTTGTGGCTTCAGGGACCTAAAGAAGAAAGATGATTGATGTGTGGGCCTTTAGGGTTTGTTTATATTCTGGTCTCTGGCTAGCTAAGGATGGCTTAAGGGCTGGTCAAGGGGGTTGGTGAAGGGTTGGCTAAGGGCAGGTGTCGGTCGGATTAGTGCCACTGTGACCTCACGCATGACGAACTAACTTCTGTTCACAAGGACCCACAGGTCGGGTTGGTAAATTGTTGTATTTATTCAGAGCAAATAGTGTCCATACTTCAACGATATGATACATTGGTATGCATCCTGCAAGCCCATCAAGCACAAATTTGGGAGCAAGTGATCATAGAACACCATAGAATTCGTCCAGCATTGGGGTCAAGTCTGGCTCATCCCTCGAGCTGCTGCTTTGCCATGAACGTTGCTCGTACGCCCGCGACTCTGAATATCAGTGCTGGCTCTGTTGCAATGCCACGGCTGACACAATTGATTTGCGAAATGCATTTGGCTTTGCTACCAACCTTCTGGCAACCAAGAACATCATGCGCACGTTGGTCACGGTGACTTAGTGCGGGATGAAGCAAATGCATTACATTGTGCAACTATGGATGCTGCAAGGACCAAACACAGCACGCGCTTTGCTGAAACTGTTCGCAAGCTGGATGAATAGAACAGTCCAAACGCAGGAAGAGTGCAATCTCCGCCGAGACAAATGATGCTGTTCCCAAAAGGTGAAGATTATGAGCGCCCCAGAGCGCAGCAAACGTGGCCAATTCAAGGCTTGTTCCGAATGCCAGTGAGCAGAGGGACAAACATCTTGCTGAGAACCATACCATGCAGCATACGATCCATGGTTTCCAACTTGATAAGGTGCAGAACGAAGTCGGCCCCAACAAATATAACGATGCGCGTGAAGTACCTCCAACCTCCACCCACCAACAGCAAACCGTTCGCGCAGGACCTTTCTTGATCGAAGAGGTGACATTTATGATGACCCATGTCCGTTCCCAACACAACAGAATATCATAATACTCAGACCGCGGGATCGATGCCACAGAAGCTTCCACAGCTTGTCTACTGCTTGATAGCCAATGAACTCTCTGTGTGTGTGCGTGATGACTCTGTTTGTTTGTCCCTCTCTTCGCCCTTGCTTGGAGGCAATGTACAAAGTTTTGCGTGTGTTGCTTTTGACTCGGCGTTTGATCTTGCTCGTGAAATCGCAAAGGATGTTCACAATCAACCGGTCAATACCTAAAAGGATGCATTCATAGTGCAATTAAAACATCCGCCGCAGCTTCAATGCAATTCCGTCACATTCCTGAGATAACACAGCGTCGCCCCTCAATTTGCAGTGGTGTTGGCCCTGGGGCAAGGACAGTTCACTCAGCCCACGCCCAGAGGAGGAGGCACGGAGGGCGCTCGTGGGGCATGTTCAGTTCACGTTAGCGCGATGTGAGCTAGAACTGCAGGGGCCCGTCCACGCAGCTGTGGGTGAGTGATGGTGGGTATGCCACCGCCAGGCAACAACGTTTGCATATGACAAAGCCGCGCAACTGGAACTGTCAATCCACCGAGTTGGGAGATGCTTTGGCAACTCAATGGCTTGATGAAGCAGGTTGTGCTGCCTTTTGCGGCACTATGTCGGAGTGTTAAGGTGTAACACAACCGACCCAAAGAACCAAAGCTGATCAGCAATAAGCTACATCACTGTGATTGGATCACTGCAATTTGCATCAAGAGAGGTGATCCCCCAGACAAATATGTCAGTCCCCGACCTTTTCCTGGAGCTGCGAGCATTTTGCTGCTTCTTTGTGCACACCTGCAATATGTTCAAGGCGACAACTTGTCACAAGTTCAGGGTGAGGCTAGCTCATCGTCCAAAGACGCAGCAGCGATTGAAATGGTATAGCAATAGAGCGCTTCCTGAGCAAACAAAACACCAATACATGTCAGTGACACTGGCAGACTGCTCGCTTCATGATTGTTAAGCAGTTTTGTTTTGGGCCAGGCAATGAGTTGTTGTCTGGAGTTTTTATTCCGTTTGGATATTATGGCCTAGGTTCCCATGTCTTCAGAGGGTCTTCTCTGGAATGCTTGGCATCCGTTACGCTTTCAAAGAATCATGCCCACGTGAAGGTGGGGACGAAGGACGTATGGCCCCGCTTCTCTTTTAAACGGGGCACGGACTGGAGTTCCATGAGCGTCGGGACCATTTGGCCCAGGCCACCGGCTGTGCTGTCCTCATCTTGCCTCCCACTGCTGGTGTCCGTGGCTGGGCCGCACCGGGAGCGGCCAGCTCGGAATGGAAGAAAACCTTTATGCAAGCTTCGTGTGGTACTGCTATGCACCGGTACTTTCATGCTGCAAATGCGGACCACTTTGAGGGCCACTGTCATGAAGTAACCATGCACAGCAAATGCGGGCAACGGATCGTTTGGAGAGCCCGCGGATTCAGGGATGGTACGGGGACGTGAGCCAAGGCGAGACATCCCTTTCCAACGACCGCGTTGGATTCCAAAAGGAAGCGAGTCATTTGGAATTTGCAGTTTTGACACATCAATGCGATAGACCAAAATACCGACCGTGGACCAAGTCAGCCATTTTTGCCCTCCAACCTTTGTACTGCCGCCTGGGCAGGGGGAAAACTAGAACCCTTTCAATTAGCCTGGCGTGGAAAGGGTGACATGAGTCCATCGGATGAAAGCTCAGGATTGGCTTGGGACGTGTTTGGTGCCTTGCTGATTTTCTACGACGCAGTGGTCTTGCCTTTCGACTCAGCATTCAGGCCTGGAGCGTGAGGGTTATTTCAAGGCAGGCAAGGGCGTGCTATCGGTGTCTTCCTCATGATGCGAAGCGAGCAACATGAGAAGCCTCGCTCCTGATGCCTCATGCCCTTTCTTCTTAGATGGTGCTTGCCAGGCCGAAGGAGGGCGTGGTCCTGATTTTCATGGATTGGCCACTTGGACGAGGGCTTCCAAGAAGCCAAATGCCTGTCGAAGTGCAAGTGGCGCACAATCGCTTTCGGACATGGAATCGAACAAGTCAATCCAAAATCCCGCTTCGCCCTTCATGAACAGATCAGAAATCATCAAATTGATGCAGGCTCCGTCTCTTTCATTAACCTATTTTTTGGTCTCCATTGGCTTCGCTCGATAATAGATAAACGATATGAAGCTACCCTGCACACCCCAACAGAAAAAGCAGCAGGTCAGTAGAGAATCAGAGGGCTTCTCACCACAGTCGAGGCTTTCCAATCTGGGGGGGTTGCCTCTTCTGTGGGAGGGTGTGGACCCCCGGGACGGCACTAAGGGATTCCTCTTCCGATGAGCACCTCCCTCCCGGCCCCCCTCCTGGCGTCAGCTGACAGTGCCTCGTTTGTCTCTGCGTCTTTCTCTTCTTTCACCCCTTCCGCGGCCTCTTGTCTCTGCCGCCTCTCTCCTGTGCCCCTTCCTCTCTCCTCTCGCTTCTCCCGCGCTTTGTGGGGTGCACTGCTGTTCACGTCCTTGGCTAGGGTGGTGTCCTAGCCCGGGGTGCGTGTGACTCAGCCACGTCCCAGTCCCCCTCCTCTTGCTCTCCGCTTCTCTTGTGCCACGTCCCGGTCCTGTCCTTTCGCTCATCCTTGTGTTCTCTCCCTCTTCTCTTGCTTCTCCCTCTCTTTCTGGGCTGCGTGTGCTGCTGTCCAAGTCCTTGGCCAGGGTGGTGTGCTAGTCCGGGGTGCGTGTGCTCAGCCACGTCCCTGTTCTATCTTCTCCTCCTTGTCCCTCTTTCTTGCTTCTCCCCCTTGCTGTTTGGCCCCTGCGTGGCCTTCCCAGCCCCCCCGTGGCCCTCAACCCTGTCCCCTGTCCACGCTTGGCCCCTGCGCGGCCTTACGCCCCCGTGCGGTCTTGCACTCCGCCTCTGTGCAGGCAGGCGGCGTAGGTGCCGACGCCCGCTTGGAGGACGCAGGATGCGTTTCTGAGATTGGCCTCCTCCGTGTCTGCCCCCTCTCTCTTTTGATGGATTCGCCTCCGCCGGTTACACTGCTGTGTGTCATGGCCCCTCGGGAGCGCTGCCTGCCACTCGCTCTGGTGTTGCTCTGGCAGTTCGGCGCGGCGCGGTGCCATCCTTGGCTGGAGTGATGTTGCGCGTGGCCTGGCCGGCGCTATACATCTCTCAGGCTGTCGTGGGCGTGTATTCCCGGGTTCGGTAGTGACCCAGCTAAGCTGGCCGAAGAGGGTTCACTGGTCCAGCTTGTTGGGAGCAACTCTGCCTGATACCCTGCATTTGCATGGGTGACTTTAACTCTGTCGCCTCGCTGGATCTTGATGTTTGGCATGGGTCGCACGTTCTCCGTCGTCCCTCGCTGCTCACGTGCCTTCCTTTGACTGCGTACACACCTTTCGTTTTCGCCATGCAGGCCGCTTGGATGGTATTTGGTCTTTCAGCCCACGTGGGGCCGAGCCTTTCCTGCTGCTCAAGTTCTTGTTCGGCCGGCGTCGCCGTGGTGATCATGAGCCCGCGTTTACTGATTTTCTTGCCGCGCTCCCCCATGGTGGAATACAACTCTTCTGCCAGCCGTCCTTCTTGGCGTCTTTTGTGCAGAGACCATTGAGCCCGCCCCTGCGCCCCAACTTTAACCGGGGTCGCCCGTGGCGAGTTCCCTTGTCGCGCTCCGTTACTCCAACACCTTGAAGAGGACAGCCTCCTCCTGCTTAGCCTGTCCCACCCCTCTCATCTGTTCTTTTTCTCGTGTGAGGGGTTGGATGGTACTGGTGAGGGTGCATCTGCGGCTCTGCGCCCTAAGGTCCTGTCCTTTCACATTGGGCAACTTCGACTTGCTCCAATCTGTCCTTGTCCAATGCCTCCCTGCATCTCCCTGCTGTACCTCGGTTCGCCAGTATCCCGTGCCCATGTAGCGGCCGCCCGGAGTGCGTTCACCGGTTACGGCTTCTCCGGCGTTTGTTCCTGGATGCCCCTCCTGCCGACCCGCAACTTGCGCTCGTTGCAGCTCTGCCCCGACTGTCTGCCACAAGCTCGGTCGCAGCGGTCTGTCACAGGCTGTGCCGTTATTCGGCGGTCTGGTTGCGGCGGTCGAACGTCACTTAATATCTAGGGCTTAGAGAGAGAGAGAGAGAGAGAGAGACGGAGAGAGGGACAGAGAGAGGGAGAGGGAAAGAGACAGAGGAAAAAAAAGGAGTCAGAGAAAGACAAAGAGAAGGCGAAAGAGAAGGAGGAGAAATTGCAAGGAGACAGAGACAGAGAAAGAGAACGAGAACAAGAGATAAAAGAGGAGGACCAGGAAGAGAAGAGCAAGAGACAGGGAAAGAGGAGAAGAACGTAGAAGAGGGAGTGGCAGTGAAGGAGAGCTGGGGGTGCTACAAACAAGTTTGAACCCGTGTCAGCGCAGTGCTAGCGCGACAACGAGCTGTCAGCACGCACATGTTACGTGCGATTTTGAAGACGTTCGGCACAGAAACAATCTGCTTCGGTCTACAATGCAGGGGCGTATGATCTACATGTTTGTGTTCGAAGAACCAGCACGGCCGGCGCAATGTTTCCAACCACTGAGGTTGGCAACTGTCTTCTGGACCCTGGACATTGGCCCAGTGCTTAGACAGGCGTAAGGTTGCGATTGCCAAAGCAGAGCGTACAACACCTTTGGCGGACGCAGAGCTTTGCGCTGCGGTCACAAGTATTGATCCCGGGGTAACTTGGGGAGGCCATCCATGCCATGTGGATTTCCTTCCGTGCGAATCTGGGCAGGATTTATTTTTCTGGGTGTAGATGACCCAGTCCCACAACATCCCATCGCCTTCATTTCCCCTGAAGGCAACCATTCGAAAATGGATGCTTGGCTTTCCAACCGGCTATGTGTTTGCCTGGCACCTGCCACGCAATCCTCAGGCTGGAGCTTCTTGACTGGCTACCACAGCAAGGGCGCAGTAGTCATGAACCCATGGTCACTGGGCTGCAGAACTGCGTTTGCTGTGCGACCCACAGCGCGATTCAACGTACTCACCCCAGATGAGCTTACCAGATTGTTATGCTCCCTGAGGTGGTCTTGCATCTCCACCCTCAATGTCTATCGGACGTTTGTTGCGGCCACCGTGTAGCCAAAGCGTACCTCATGTGCTCGACGTGGCATTTCAAGCCACTGTTGATACTACATTCATGTGGATGCAAGCTGGATATTTGTATTCGTACGGCAATTTGTTGGGCCTGCTCACTTGCATTTGAAGTCTGCAATATGAAAGGTTTGAAGAGCTTGATTAACACAGGCCTCGACTATCCCAAGACAGGGTTGTTTTGTTTCTGGGATGTGGGGAGCCTCTTTGCGTTTGTCTAGCAGGTGTTATTGCGAAGGGGGATGTCATTGAATTAATCTTCAGGGTTAATTCGTGAAGAACGGGTTTAGGCTGGGTTTGGAGTCAGCTGAAGAGCGTAGACTTGGCTTAAGCTTGGTTAGTCGTGCCCGGTACGAGGGGATGCTGAGCACGTGCGGGGATGCCGGGAATGCCGGAGGGGCTGCAAACGCCTACAGCTGCGAAGGAGCCGCCTTACATCGACCAATAGAGAATTGAGAAATACAACTACCTCCTGAGGGAGGCACCAGCCCCAAATTTGGAATCCACATCTGAGTGGACGCAAGGGTCTTGGGTGGGTTTGGCCAGCGTTCTGCTAGCTCCGTTGGGGGTGGGTGGGGGGGGGGGGTCGGGTCGGGTCAGGTCGGGTGGGGCGGGGGTGCGTCTCCAAAATGAGCTGCTAAGTGGCTAAACCTGCCAGAGTGCGGATTGACTGAATCATGCAAGTCAGTAATCATGTGTTGCATGCCTCCGCACGATTGGTACTTCAGTTGTGCCTTAGACGTATGGGGGGGTTGACGACGTCAAGACCGTCGCAAGGTACATTGCGCTTCATTACACTACCTCTTGGTTCATCGTGGACGTGGCAGTTGTTGGTGCAGCCCCCAGACAATTCGCGTCCAAGAATTCAATTTTGGGTGGGTGTCAAAATGGGGCGACCCCCAAAATGTTCAAACCTCATTTTGGCTTCGCTTTTTTGGATTCCCTGTAAACCAATGTGAAAAGGGTACCCTCAGAGAAACACCCATGTAGTAGCTCTGAGGCATGGAAGGGTGAACGGTTTGACGGCAAGCAAGCTTTTTATGAAATCCGGCAGTGCGCTGGACCTTGGCGTGGGCAATGCCGGTCCAATTCCTGTGCACAAACATCATGATGTTGATGAAACTACCGGCCCCAGTGTAGTCACAGCAAGTCAAAAGCCAAAGAGCATCAGTCTGTTGCTTCGGAGAATAGAGACCTGCGGTGTGACTTGGCGTCCGCTGTGCTTGGGCGCCTGCAGTCATGGGGCTTCCCAGCCTCCCTGTATTCAAGGGGGGTGCTTCCTTCGGCTTGCTTGGGCGAAATCGGCTAAATTGATTGATCCATCCCCTTTTGGCAGGCAGGAACAGGGTAGCAGAAAAAGCAGCTTCCCAAGCTGAAGGGGCAGCTTGGCGCTCCAACAAAACCGCTGACTCCGTCCCAGGCCTGGACTGGCTCAGCAAGACCCAAGCCAGCATTTCAGAAACCGAAGCCGGGGCCCCAGGGCCCTAGGGCCCCCAGAACCGAGCCCTGAGAATCGTCGGTGCATTTGGGCGTTGGGCTGAAAGGTGGCAAGCGAAGGCCCGGTTGCGAGGCTAGGTGTTGGACCTGACAATTCGCGAGCGAATGTGGAGGCGTTGTTTGTGTGTGGGGCCAAAAAGGGGCAAACCTCAATTTGTTGCTCAGCTGGAGGCAGAGGGATGAGACAGAGGGGAGCGAGAGAAAGGGAGAATCATTACAGCTTTGTGCCAGCTGGGCTCGAGCCAGTTGCAGCGAAGCTTGCGCACCTTTGCACGCCATGGCTCGTAGGAAGGACCCGGCCGATGGTGGCACATACACCTATGATGAGATTTGCAAATACTACCGGTCTCAGCAACTTGACTGCACATCTGATCTTGACGAACGGCCAGCCGACTAATTGCATAGCATGCCAAATTTGCAAGCGGCCGATGCTTTGTTTCAGCCGGTGGTTCCTGTTGGTGGGCGCCCTTGAGGTGAACCCAGGGGTATCCTTTTGGATGGCTGGACTAAGGCATGGACATTTCCGGAGCGCAAATTTTGCTACCATGAAAGTCCTTCAGGTGTTCTGCGTTGTGCAGCCAGGCGTTTGCTTTTTAATGGTTCCTTTGTGACGCATGTTTGGTGGGGGGCGGGGGCGGGGGGCGGGGTTGTCAAAGGTACCCACTTTCACGCAGCAATAGGCGGCAACACGGGAAGTTAGATGGGTTGCATTGTTGCATGCGGCCGGGTGCATCCTCTATGCATCCCATCCCGCGTCCTTTGTGACAGCATGTTCCAGCATGTTCCAGCGCTTCCGTTAGCTTTGAAGGCTGCGCCGCTGCTCGGCGTGTTTGTTTGCGGTGCCATGAGGTACAAGCAGCGCATAATCGACGCGTACTGGGATGCCTTGGCTGCATTGTTGGCTGGCGTAGCTTCCACCTGGCTATCAGCGCATGCCCAGTCTTTGACACCCCCGGTTGTGGATTCCTGAGATGTCACTGGTTTGAAGACCAGCTTGCAGAGTAACCATCACAAATCTAAAGCCGGCGCTTGATTGCCCGTCCGCACAGCCTTCGCAGCAGTGAAAGCATGGCTAGCCTGGATGTGCAGGCTCGATGGCAACGAGATGGTTCTTAGCTCTCAATAGCCAAGAAACTGCAAGACCCCTTGGGCAACGTGCTGCAATATGCTTGGTGGACCTGTTGGCGCGTACTTTTCACCAGGCAGCGCGTGAGCAATATGTTTCCGAAAGCTCCAAGCCGGTAAACGGAGCAGCAGTCGGGAGCCTCGGAATGTCTCTGGACCGCGCAAGGAAAACGAGATGTACCCGGCCAAGGCGGCCAAGGCCCCAAAGGCCAAAGCAAAGGCCAAGGCGCCGAGGGACAAGACGTCGCTTCCCAACCAGCCATGCAACCAGCCACGGTTTTGTTAATGTGAGGTATGTAACGAAGGTATGTAAGGTTTGTAACGATCCAGCATTTTTTAATTTTTACTTTTACAAGGTATGAGTCACCCTCCGCAACTGTTGGCATAAAGGATTGAAGCCCTCCCGTTGCATTCTCCAATGCGTGCCCAGACCCTGAGTGATTTCTCAAGGGCGCCTGCAGAGCAGACTTTCGCAGAGCATGCTTTTGCTGGACATACCATGACATACCTGTGCAGAATCAGCTTGCAGAGAGCTTGCCGTTCAGAAGCAGAACAGTTGGAACAGGGAGCAGGGAGGGATAGTCACCCAGCTTGCGCTTTTGCACACTGTGCTTGCACTGAATAGTTTCCAGACTCGTGCTGAAGCTGCAGAAATGAATGAAGTTTACTATTCTCTGCGACACTGTGCTACTAGCACTCGTGTGCTGAAGAGTTGCGACTTTCGAGCTGGAGCTGTGGCAATGTCAAGCTCTGTTTTCCCCTCGCCTGCGTGACAAGGACCCCTGTTACAGACCTCCGTATCAAGAGTCGAGCCGCTTCACGCGTTACATTGTTCCATGTCTTCAAAAGAAGCCACACCTATATGTTTAGGATTTGCTTGACAGTCCTTGGCCAATGTCATGTCCCAAGCAGGCACCCTCCCAAGTGGTTGCTTTTCGGGTTTCTGTTGTCCTTTCAACAGCACCGATCTGTTTCTGGCTTAGTGTTCGATTTGCTGAGACATGCTTGGCGAAGTCCGGCTTGACCTTGTTCCGTACCTGTTCGACGCTGGAGGGTTAGAAGTGGTAGGATCTAGAACTGCTCAAGCCCTTTGATTGTCCACCAGGGCACTTTTTGCTTTGAACTTCTCTCGTCATCTCTTGCAGGCAATTATCTCCACACCTGTTGATGAAACGCAAGTTGTTGTGACCTTGCGGGTGGTTTGTGAGGCACCGGGTTCGATCCAGGGAAAGGCATCTGTGATACCTGTGTTTGTGGTCAGTGGCCATTCAGATGTTGCCATTCAAGGTTTGGGACGGGTTTCCTGTTGGAAGCCGACGCGTCGGCAGGCAGCGCCTGAACCAAAGGCAAAAGCAAAGGCCAAGGCAAAGGCAAAGGCCAAGGCAAAGGCCACAAAAGACAAGGCAGGATGGGGGCCGATACCGCATGTGGTTTTTCTCTGCGGAACGCAGTGCTCGCAGTGGTATCGATTTCCCTCCGTTTTTCAATCAGCGCCCTTCGTGCGGGATGCAGCCCTAGTTCGGCATAGTTCCTTTGGTTTTGCAGACAAATGTTCAGGATGGGGCACCTGCATTGCTCTGCCATGAGGCCTTCAGAGCCTGTTGATGTGACTATGGCTCAGCGGCCGTCGTTGAAACTGCGCCGCGATTCACTCAGCGCTAATTTGCATGATGTTCTGCCTTGAGCGCGCGCTCTGCAGCTCATTCTCCAGACATCCGGTTCGGGGTCGTTTCATTTGCGTAGTCTTGGCCGGTTTGTCTTGTTGTTGGAAGTTATACCCGCTATTTCCAGACGTTTGGCTGGTGCTACATGGGTTTGATTTAGGCCGATATAGGCACGGGGAGTTTTTGGGCTTATTTGTTTGGGAAAGGCATTTTCGTTAGAAATAAAAACAATCTTTGCTTGGGCAATGCATTCAGGAAGTGATGTGAGGAGAGTGTTCGATCTGCAAAACGTGCAAGCAGTTTGCGACATTTGGCCAGAATCATGTTTATCCAAACCAATATGTGGTCGAAAGTGTTGCGTTATCAGCAGACATGTTGGGTCGGTGTGTTAAGCTGTTCCACGGAATGTAGAAATTGCCTCCTGGTCTTGGACTTGGACTGAACGTATGCAGTCTTTAAGTTTGTTGCTGCATGGCGTGGTCAGCCAGTCCCGCTTCCAAAGTTGTTCGAGGGCGTGCTGGTGTGAAGGCACTGTGTGGCAAGGCAATCACGACGTGCCAGCGGCAACGTGTGGCTTGAACCAAACGGAATTTGCTGCAGCCGCATGCGAGGGCCCTGCCAACCCGAAGCGCTTCATCAATGAGCAGGCTTCCATTGTGCAGGCCCCTCGGCGCAATGTTCCCTTTCAGGCCTTGGATGCGCGTGGAAACGTCAGCCAGTTGTTCAACCATCGCTTGAGCTGCACTAGGCGAAGTATGTCTGCAGCATTGGCCAAAGGAGCTTCAGCGTTGTTAAGAGAAGCAGACATTGCAGGGAATGTTGAGGGAGCGAGTTGCCAGTGCCAGAAACCCATATGTAGCTAAGACATGAATCTTGGGCCTATTTTTCCATGGATGAACTGAGCTAGCCTTCTTTTAAAGAAATCCGTGCGTCACGATACTGCGATATGTTCTTGATTGTTCATGTCCCGAGGGGTTAAATCATGTCCCCTGAAATCCTGCCCTCAGAGTCAGGAGCCGGGCTGAGTGAGACAACATAACTTGATTGAAAGACAGCTCTTCATCACCGCCATGTCCGCATGGCACACGAGCGCCTGGGAGCCCCGCTGTTCTGAGGATTGTGTGGACGGCCTGGTCTGGTCCACTCCAAATCTGGCGCGCATGGATGGATATCCCGATCTCAAAATCGTGTACCGCACGGACTGGAACAAAGACAAGGCGTTGGACATGACATGGCTTGCATAGCTGCACGCCCACTCAATGCGTTTTGGGTTCGGGTAAGCCCTGACATCAATACTTTTGGGATGCCGGAATGTTCGGAAAGGCATTTCCCGTGCAACAGGCACAAGGAATAGTGAACTAGCAGGAACCTAACATGCTGCAGGCCCGGTGAGTCCCTTCCCCTTCAGTCCGTTTCAATCTCTTTCAATCCGTCTGATATTGTCGTTGGTTCCGTTGTCTTAGTGCTTGCAGCATTTAATTGAACCTGTCCCAAAAAACGCAGTGCTTCCGAGTGCCAGGTTGCCATCATTTCCGGCGGCGGTGCAGGCCATGAGCCGATGCACGGCGGCTTCGTGGGCAAAGGCGCCAGAGTTTGCATGCACGATTTCGTCCATTGCCCCTCCCTCTGTTGTGGTCTCTGAGAGGAGGTGATGGTGGTGGCATGTTTGCAAAATGTGGCCCAAGGGAAGGCCAGCAGCATTTGTCACGGTGGCGGGATCATAGCCACGAGCTAGGGCCGCAGTTGGTGCCGCGATCAAGCTCAGGCAAAGTGTGCTGTTTGCTGGAGTTGTGTGGTTTGGGGAGGACACGCTAATTTCAGAATTCCACTTTTGGACCCCAAGGCAGACTTAAACCCAGGGAGTTCCCTTTGGAAATTCCACCACTCCTGGGTTTAAGTCTACCTTTGGGTCAAAATGGGTGAAAAAGTGGAACCTGCGCGCGTAACGCAGGCATGCTTTCTGCCGCTGTCTCGGGCGAGACCTTCGCCTCACCCTCCATTGATGCGGTGCTGGCCGCCATCGCGCCGCGGCATTTGTCGATCGAGAGAGCAACTGACAGCGAGTCTCACTGGGAATGTGTTCTACGCAAGTGCTGCGCAATGGTCAACGCTCTTTGGTGTTTTGGTGTTTTGCTGGCTGCATGGTGGATTTGTTGTCATACCAAGCCACATCCAAAAGTG